GGAGTGTTGGCATTAGGTCTTCTTTGTATTTCTTGTAGAATTCTGCAGTGAATCCGTCTGGGCCTGGGCTCTTCTTTGTAGGTAAAGATTTAATTACGTTTTTAATTTAATTAATAGAAATTGGGTTATTCAGCAGTTACATCTCCATGACCTAGCTTTGGTAGTTCGTATGCTTCTAGGAACCTGTCTATTTCCTCTGTGTTATCAAACCTTTGAGAGTAGAGTTTTTTGAAATAGGTGTTGATGATCTTCTGTATTTCTATAGGGTCTGTAGTGATTTTGCCTCTTTCATTCCTAATTACATGAATTTGAGCTTTTCTTCCATTTTTAAAATAAGATTGGCTAGGGGCTTGTCGATTTTATTTATTCTTTCAAAGAACCAACTCTTTGATTCATTGATTTTTTTTGGATTTTTTTCTTAGTCATTATTGCATGGATTTCTGATCTGATTTTATAATTTCTTCTCTTCTTTTGGCTTTGGGCTTGACTTGCTCTTCTTTTTGTAGATGTTTGAGGTGTAACATCAGGTTATTTATTTGTATTTGTTCTGTTTTCCTGATGTGGGAACTCAGTGCAATAAATTTTCCTCTGAGGACAGCTCTCATTGAATCCCACAGATTCCGGTAAGTTGTATTTGTGTTTTCATATGTTTGTAGGTATTGTTTAATTTCTTCTTTAATTTCCTCTGTGACCCACTGATTACTCAAGAGTGTGTTATCCAGTTTCCATGTGTATGTGGGAATTTTGCAGTATCCCTTTATCATTAATTTCTAATTTCATAGCGTTATGGTCTGATAGCATGCAAGGGGTAATTTCAACCCTTTTGCATTTATTTAAATATGTTCTGTGAATTAATATATGGTCTATTTTTGAGAATGATCATTCCTATAGGTGCAGAAAAAGCTTTTGATAAGGTCCAACATTCATTTATGATAAGAACCTTGCAGAAAATTGGAATAGATGGTCTTTACCTCAATATAATAAAGGCCATCTACGATAAACCAACAGCCAATATCATACTAAATGGCCAAAAATTGAAGGCCTTTACTTTAAAATCAGGCACAAGACAAGGATGTCTCTTATCACCCCTCCTATTTAATATAGTACTGGAAATACTAGCCAGAGCAATTAGAAAAGAGAGAGAAATAAAAGGTGTCAAGATAAGAAAAGAAGAAGTTAAATTATCATTATTTGCAGATGACATGATACTCTATATAGAAGATCCCCAAAACTCCATTGAAAGACTCCTAGGTATAATAAATAAACTCAGTAATGTAGCTGGATATAAAATCAGTACTCACAAATCAATAGCATTCCTATACAATAACAACAAATAAAGGAAGCCACACCTTCACATTAGAAACCAAACAAATGTAATATTTAGGAATTACTCTCATGAAAGAAGTGAAAGAACTATACAGGGAAAATTATAATACACTGAAAAATGAAATTGAAGATGATCTCAGAAAATGGAAAGACATCCCTTGTTCATGGATAGGAAGAATAAATATTATGAAAATGGCCATTCTCCCAAAACTTTAATACAGATTCAAGGTAATCCCAATAAAAATACCTTCAACATACCTCATAGAACTTGAGAAATCACTCCTAAAATTCATCTGGAGTGAGAAGAGACCTAGAATAGCAAGGACAGTTCTAAGCAGCAAAGGCAAGGCAGGAAGTATCACAATCCCTGACTTGAAGTTATACTACAAAAAGCAACTGTAGTAAAATCAACATGATACTGGAACCATAACAGAGCCGAAGATCCGTGGAATAGATTAGAAGATACAGCGCAACTACAAACACATTCAACACCTTATCTTCCATAAAGGGGCCAAACATGTTCACTGGAAGAGCGACAGTCTCTTTAATAAATGGTGTTGGAAAAACTGGTTCTCTATATGCCAAAAACTAAAACTAGACCCATGCCTATCACCATGTACTACAATAAAATCTAAATGGATCAAAGATCTAAATATTAAAACAGAAACACTGAATCTATTGGAAGACAAATTGGGTAGAAACTTGAAGACATAGGGGTAGGTAGAGAATTCATGAACAGGATTCAAACCGCACGGGTAACACTTCCCAGAGTCAATAATTGGGATCACCTCTTATTAAAAAGTTTCTGCACGTCAAAAGAAATCTCCAGCTTAGTGAAAAGAAAACCCACAAACTGGGAAAAATCTTAGTGAACTGCCCCTCAGACAAAGGACTTCTGTCTAAAATATATAAAGAATTTTAAAAAATCAGACCCCCAAAATTCAAAGACCCAATCCAACAATGGGCATCTGAGATGAATAAACAATTTTCAGATGAAGAAATACAAATGGCAAATAAATATATGAAAAAATGTTCATCATCATTAGTCATTAGAGAAACACAAATTAAAACCACACTGAGATTCCATCTCACTCCTGAAAGAATGGCCAAGATCAAGAAAACCACCAACAACAAATGCTGGAGAGGCTGTGGGGAAAAAAGAACTCTCCTACATGGTTGGTGGGAGTGTGGACTAGTGTAACCATTGTGGAGGTCAGTCTGGAGATTTCTCAGAAAGCTGGGACTGGAAGCCACATTTGACGCAGCTATTCTAGGCATATTCCCAGAAGAATTGAAAGCATCATACCACAGTGATATATGTGCACCCATGTTTATAGCAGCACAATTTGTAATAGCCAGATCGTGGAAACAACCTAAGTGTCCATCAACTGAGGAATGGATACAAAAAAAGTTGTGGTATTTTTATACAATGGAGTACTACTCAGCTTTAAAGAATGATCACATTGAGATGTTTATAAGTAAATGGACTCAGCTTGAGACCATACTCATAAGTGAAATAAATCAAACTCACATGTATAAATACCGAATAGTTTCCCTAGTGTAAGAAATGATAAGAATACGGAAAAGTATGTGGCAATCATGATTCCCAATCATATTGGTTTGAAGCCATATAATGTTTTCACTCATTAATTGCAATGGTTTTAACCTGGGTTGTTCGATTTTAGTATCTGTGATAGTATGAATAGCTATTTTGAAGAAAACAACACAACATAAAAGCTAGAGCTGATTTAATATCATCTTGTTTTGAAGTCCCATCAAGCTGTTGTACATCTGTTTCCACTGGTTTTAACATGTTGTGTCTTACTATATTTTACTATATGCGATAGTATAAACAAAATTTTTCATAGGTAAAGAGATAATATAGAAACCGTTGTTCATTTTCTGTTAGCTGGTTCTAAATACCCTGTAATTCTTTCATTCTCTTGCATGGCTTCACACTGTCTTGATATGCTTGATGCTGTAGTATACAAAGTTATACTCAAATAATTCAAGGAAAGAGGCACTATGGTGACTACTATTATGTTAGATTATCTGGTGGTGAAACACAATGATGCTTAAATTGTTTGGTTCTGACCTGTGTTGTTCTGTTACAATGTCCTTTTTTATCTCAACCACCCCCCCTCCTTTTTAAATTAATCTGTTTTTTATTTTTTTAATTAAGTGAAAACTACATTAAAAATAGCAGTTTATATTATAGTAACTTTTTTGTTTTCCTATTAACCTGATTTGAACCCCAGTATTGTTCTCCCCATTTTGTTCTGTCTGATTTTACTATTTCTATTTTGTTTGATAGTATCAAGTTTGAGGGTATAGGCAACCACTTTGAAGGCAATAAGATTTACTATGATGCCCATTTTGACTATTGTCTTCTTTTGAAGAACTGTAAGGTCTCCAGTGTAGGTTTTATTGGTCTTGTTCTGTACTGTTTTGATCAATTCTATTATACCTGATGATATAGGCAACCTATTTTAAAAATTGCAAGAGGCACAATGGTACCCACTTTTCATCAACTGGTATTCTATTTTTGCATCATGTACTATGCCCATCCTTCTGTTCTAACTGACACTCTATTGTTTAGTCACGTTTGGTTTTAGTCTCTTCAAAAAATAGTAATAAGAACTGTAGGAGTAATAAAAAAGTGTAATTGTTATTGTAAAAAAGAGAGGAAAGGAAGGTGGTCTAAGGGATATAACTGCATGTATGTTTGAGTGTGTAGGATGGAAAACCATATTACTGAACTTTTGTTGGATCATTGAATGAAACTGTCTGCAATCTCACTTTATGACAGTCCATTTTATATGCTTTAGTTTTATAATTTGGGCAACTGTTTCTAAGATGACAATATGTAACCTTAATTAGTGATTTCTTACTGTATATTTTTTTCTTGAAATTCTGTATTACTTGTACACTTCTACAGCTTTGTTTTTTTATTTCCTTTCTTTTTTCTGTTTAAATAAAAAAAAAAAGGAAAGAAAAGAATGGCCGATGGCATGTTGTTCACTGCTCCACAGATCCAGGGGTCCCAGCAATAGAGAATTCAAGAGAAGTAAAAAGCCAGCCAAAGTCAGAAACTTGGAAAGAAGCAGGAGATTCACTCATTCCTTGGTCAGAGCATATCCAGGTCCACCAAGATGGGGAACACGGGTGTCTCAGGAAGAGCACCCTCAGCCAAAACCCCACACCCCAGAGTTGGAGAGAAAATGATATACTGGAAAGGATCAAAGGAACTGATGTAGGGAACCTGGGAGAGGATGGAGGGCAGCCCAGGCACTCAGGTAAAGTGACAGAGAGTGGCACATCCTGGGAGGCAGCGGCAGGGCACATCCCACCAAGGACCTCTACCAGACTACAGTGCCACCTTGTGTCCCTCAATGCCCCACCCCCTGTCCCCACCAGCACCAGCAAACCTTTCCTCAAGGGAGGCCAGAGAGAGCCCTTGCTTCCCACCTCCCTGGCCCAGAGTGAGCTCTGCTCCCAGAGCTTTGCTCTCCTGCCCAGGACCCGCCCCTCCCCCAGGACACATCCTCAGCCAGGAGCCTGCAGGTTCTGAAAAGCTCCTTCCTGTCTGAGGACTTCCTGTCAGGGGCTCTGCTGAGACTGATGCATGCCTAAGGACAAAGATTCAAGAAGGAAAAACAAGGAGACCTGATGCCTTTATAAAGGTATGCCTGCAAAATCCACCTTTATTTAAGAGGTGAGCATAGTTCCAGGTGAGAAAATGGGGCACAGAACAGATATTTCCGTGGGGATTCCAGAGCATTTGACAGAGTTTAGAGAAAAAATTAAATGGGTGCTCATTTGAGAGAGTAACGAGGTGGGGTATTCACATATGGAGGCCAAAAGGAATCCCAGGTGGAGCTGAGGTTTCATAATTCCCCTCTCATAACTCAGCTGCCCAGCGGTCTACACCAGGGCTGACTAGTGATGAAGGACCCAAGCAGGCAGGGCAGTACCATCAGCAGCATGAGGCACTAGAGCAGCTGGGGCGGCAGCAGCTAGAGATGCAGCACTGGGGCCTGCAGCAGCTGGACACACAGCAGCTGGGGCGGCAACAGCTGGAGATGCAGCACTGAGGCCTGCAGCAGCTGGAGATACAGCAGGAAGGTCTGCAGCAGGTTGTTCTGCAGCAGGTGGTCTCACAGCAGCTGGGACGGCAACAGCTGGAGATGCAGCAGCTAGGGCGGCAGCAGCAGGGCTGGCAGCACTGAGGCCTGCAACAGCTGGAGATGCAGCAGGTGGGCTGGCAGCACTGGGGCCTGCAGCAACTGGACACACAGCAGCTGGGGCGGCAACAGCTGGAGATGCAGCACTGAGGCCTGCAGCAGCTGGAGATACAGCAGGAAGGTCTGCAGCAGGTTGTTCTGCAGCAGGTGGTCTCACAGCAGCTGGGACGGCAACAGCTGGAGATGCAGCAGCTAGGGCGGCAGCAGCTGGGCTGGCAGCACTGAGGCCTGCAACAGCTGGAGATGCAGCAGGTGGGCTGGCAGCACTGGGGCCTGCAGCAACTAGAGATACAGCAGCTGGGGCGGCAGCAGCTGGGCCTGCAGCAGCTAGAGATGCAGCAGCTGGGCCTGCAGCAGCTGGAGATGCAGCAGCTGGGCCTGCAGCAGGTGGTCCTGCAGCAGGTGGTCTGGAAACACCTGGGCTGGCAGCAGCTCTCCTGGCCACAGCCCTGCTCAGAGCAGATGGAGCCACAACAGGAGTTGACCATGGTGTCGGGACTACAGTTCTGGGTGGTTTGCGAGGTGGAGGTGTCTGAGGAGTGGAAACTTCCCTGCCCTTGGACCCTTTTATACCCTGCTAAGTGCTTGCTGTCATTATTAGCGCCCTATTTCCTTGTAATTGCTACTGTTAGTAAACAGGCAATTACTTAATTAGGTAAGTGTGTCTCCCTGGTGAAATGTCCTGGTAGTTGCAGTGGATCATATGCCTTCCTCATTGTAAATGGATGAACATCATTCTTCCTTATCAACTTTGTGTTTTCTTTCTTGCTTCTCTTAGAGTTTGCTGGCACAATAAAGGAGCAGTTATAAGAAAAAGTAAAAGTAGCCGTTTTATTTCAAGGATGTGGAAAGGAACCCACAGCCAGCAAGGATTTGGCTTTCTGCTCTGCTGGATATGGGGGTGTGGTGCATATGTCACCTCTGACCGGATGTGGTGTTTGGGGCTGGCATTGATGTCATGCAAGGAGCTGATTGGAATTCTCTTCACGTGCACAGAGAAAGGAAGGAGGAAGTTGTTTTTTGGGAGGTGGAGAAAGTGGCCCTCAGGGTAAGCATCCCCGATTTGGCCTTCCACTATGTTGGACTACCGCCATAATGTCCTGTAATTTTCTCTAGGGAAAAACTCTTTCATTCTCATCTTTTTATTGTTAGGAAAAGGGGGAAGAATCCCTTTTATTACTTCCTGTTGAACAGGTGTGTCATGTTGGGGTTTATGAGGGTTTCCAGGATGATGGTTGATGCCCATGCAGAAGCTAGTACCTGCTGTTTCTGCCAGGACTACTTTATCCTTGGTGAATGCTCATATCCTAGATTGGAGAAATAAAGAGACAAGGTGCTATGAGGAGGCAGGCCACTGTCATATTTTAAGAACCTCGGAGAGGTGCAAGGAAAAGTGCCCTTGATCCAAATGTGTGGTTCCATCAGGGCCTTAGGGAGGAATAACCTTCAACACAAGATAGAGTTGGAAAGGATGGAGTTAAGAGAGGTGATTGTTCCCCATCTGAGGGGGAAAAGTAAAAGTACAGGTCAGACCTGTCCTTGGTCCAGGGCTGGAGCTGGAGAGAATGGGAAGCATGAGAAAGGTAAGGCCTGGCAGGTGAATCATGTTTGGGAAATTGTAGCGCAGGTGTGGGAGCACCATGGCTGTGTCACTGTAAGTTGGAGGAGATCCTAGACCCAGTGGGGTCTCTTAAAACGGATTAGGAACCAAATAGTACAACAAAACATGACCTCGCCTGAAAGTTGTGGCTGTGGCACCTCGGTGAGGCAAAGATGATGGAAAGTAGGAGATGTGATGACCACTCAGGATGTTTAGAGTCAGGGCAGGTAGGACTAGGAGGGCACTGCTGTGCTTGAGTGATGTGGAGTCAGCATGGCAGCCCAGTGACCCTGACAACCATTGGAGTTCTGAGGAAGACCAGCTTTGGGCCACTCCACTTTGGCTGCAGTCCTGTTGAAGGATCTGAGAAATAAAGGCTGGACCATTATCTGACTGGAGAAGCTGAGGTAGACCAGACCTTGAGATGATTTCCTGTAACACGACTTTAGTAACTACATCAGGAGTATCCCTGGTTGTGCAAAAGGCTTCTATCCATCCTGATAAAGCACAAACAAAGGTAAGAAAATATTTGAAACTTTTGTGGCAGGGCATGTGTGTAAAATCTATCTACCAGTCTTGACTAAGGATGTGTCCATGAAATTGATGAGTAGTAAAGGAGAGGGGTGGTTTGAGTCTCTGAGGAGAGGTTCTAATATAGATATGGCATGTGTAATTTGTTGACACCTGAGGGTGTCTGGGTCAGTCTGCATAAAAACTGAGGAATCTGGACAATCAGGGTGTAGAGGACATGCTTTTACAAAAGCGTTTTTAAGGACTTTGAAGCAAGTGGAGGATGGAGCGATATGAGAAAACGCAGTACAAGGGTTTGGCACAATGGGGTGCGCTGGGGTAATACCATCAGAGCTTACCCTAAGGTCTTGTAGGACCCATTAGGCTAGAGTACCGGAAGAATGAGAGTATTGTAGAACAAATGGATAGGTTTAAGAAAAACATTGTGTAAAAGATGCTCGATTACAGGCTTAAGTCCCCTTAAATGTTTAAGAGCTACAGGATATTGGGGAACGCAAGGAAAAACTGAAGGAATGCAAGGAAAAACTGAGGGATCACTGAGTCGAATTAAAACAGGCATGGCATGGGTATTGCAGGTGTGTTTGGAGGTGTTTCCAACTATGGGATGGACCAGAGAAGAAGGGAGGGGAGGGGGTGGCTTTGCAGTGCACTGTGAGGGTGCCTGGAGGACTAGAGGTGTGGGGAGGGAGAAGGTAAAGGAGAAGTTAAGCCTTTGGAGAAGGTCCCTACCTAGATGGGGTGCAGGACATGCTGGAGTTACTAGAAAGCTATGGGTAAAGAAGACAGTTTGGAACCTGCATAGAATGGGCCCTATCTGCAGGGCCTGTGTAGTTTGGCTGTCAACACTTACTGCAGTGACTGAGGACTTAATACAAGGGCCTGAAAACTCAGGAAGAACACTGTATGTGAGCTCTATATCCACAAGGACAGACAGTGTTCTACCTGAGAACTCCAGTGGACTTGGGGCTCTGAGGATTCCTTCATGGGGCCTGTAGGCCCTGAGCCCCATCAATCTTCAGCAGCAACTACATCAGTCAGTGATGAATCCATTGGTGACAAAAGCTGCTGTGAAGGCAAGGATTTAGAGGATGGCTTACCAGCTCTCTGGAGGCGATGACAGTCACGCTTCCAATGGCCCTTGACATTGCAGAAAAGGCATACTCTTCAACATCCTTTCTCCTCTTACTTGACGCATGGTCCAGAAGGGACTCAGGCAGCTCTTCCTTGTTTGGGTTTACCTGTCTCAGAGCTCCAAGAGACACTGCTGAAAGATCAGATTGCTTTTTCCTTTTGAATTTATCTCTGTTTTCGAAAACTCGAAAAGTTATATTAAGAAGTTCTGCCTGTGGGGATTGAGGGCCAAGTTTATTCTTTTGTATTAGGATCTGGCCCCCGGCAGGAGGTATCTATCTTCTCCTAGGTCACAAGACCTCCCGTCCTCTGTGCTGGCTCCTTGGAGGCCCTACCCCTGTCTGATTTCCTATAACATTTTTAACTGACTCAGCTGCTGTAGTATTTTTCCTCTGAAGAAGTAACCCAAACTGCCATGAGGGGTAATGGATGATGACCGATCTGGCTTCATCAGGCTGAAGGGGTTGAAGCTGTTGCACGGCAGTCAGGGACACTCTGCAGAGCTTCTAACCCAGTGGCCCTCAGTGGACAGCAGCGATTTTCATCTTTGGTAGGTGTACAGCCTTAAGTCTTGAGGAGACAAACACAAAGAATCAATTAAGTGTGAAGTAGGGAAATATTAGAATCCACAGGGTATCTATGAGTATAATTTTAGTAATGGCTTCCCATAAGGAGGATAAGGATAAGGTCCAGGGAATTTTAGAAACTCACATGTCATTGATTGGTCATACATGTATTTATTTTTTACAATTGTTTAAGTACCTCTGTGTTGTTAGAAGGTTTCCTGCCATTTTATTTTGGAGGATGGCCTGTTTTATTAATTTTACCTTTTTTATTTAGGAGAGAGATTAGCTGCAGTGTCATTTAAGGCCAGTTGAGTATAGTTAATGATGGCCTCAATATACATCATATAATCTTTTTCTAGATAATATCTTGTGGATCCCAATAAAAGGAATCTAAAAAGAATTTAGTATACTTGTTATTGATTTTATCTGTATGATACCTTCGATTTGGGCACATATCAGGTAACAACAAACTTTAATCAAAGCATGTATAATTAAATTATATAGAAAAAAGCATGTATAATTAAATCATGAGCAGAAGGGCTGACAGTTAAGTTTAGAAAATGTTTTTAGGTTATAGAAATTGTCACTCATTGGCTCTCACGTCCTTGTGTGATGGACATTACATAAATTTTTGTTTAAAAATTATCATTTGACTGATGACCTCATGTTGATTTGACTTTAATTTCTTGGCTGGAGCACAAGAAAAAGGCAGATTCTGGATCTGAAAGAAAATATGTATCATCATAAACAATCCCAGTTTTACATTTGAAGGCATGAATATAAAATCAGATCAGCAACAAGGAATTGTCTTAGTCATACGAACTTTAGTTGGGGTGTCTCCTGCAAGGCTATGGAGATTACTGGGGCCTCTGCTTGATGAACAAGAACTGGTTGAAGTTACCAGGTGGCCACTTTCTTATTCATCAATAGAAGTCCCGTCCAGTGTCTTCTCACCCCCGAGGGATTTTGTTTAACCAGGTTTAGCAACATTTTGACCAGCTGGCAACTGAGGTAGAAGCATGCTTTTAAATCTATAAGACAAATAAACCTGGGTTTAATTATTTGAAAATGCCAAAGAAAAAGGAAAAATGATTGTTGAGCTCAAATAAAAAAGAACAGCTGTTTTGAGAGCAAACACATGGACAAACATGGGCAGACAATCTGTACAGTATAAACAGACTGGACAAACACACAACAGATACACAAACTGACAAACATCTTACAAAATTGGAGTGCACTCAAGTATAGTTGGCCAACTTAAACTATAGTAAATATATCAGTGTGAAGCTTTTTGTATGTTAATTAATAGAGATCTCTTGAAATAAGAAGAGCAGAAAAGGAAGCTATATTGTGGTTACTCTGAGGTCAGTTGGCAAAGGGAAAAAGGAAGATGAATACGAACTAGTCCCTCAGGACCAGCCTATTAATGCCATGGGACTAGGGACTGAAGCCAAGAGGGCTCTGGAGTGGGAGGTATAGATAGATGGCCACCGAGCTGCCAACCACCCAGCAGGCATCTGTGGGTGATCAACACCAGGCACTTACTGGGTGATCAACCACAAAATGGACACTCGATACCACACAAAAGGGAAGCACAACATGGTGACTGGTCAGCATGAGACAAACAAGAAGATGGCTGCTGTCAGTTCCATGGTGAGGGAGCCCAAATGGCAAGTGCTCATTATGTGACCTGCAAC